TCAGTGATGGTGAACCTATGACACGCGCGTCAGAGGTGACACGCGAACTCATTTTTTTGGTTGATTTTTCTTTGTTAAATGGCATTTAAATATATAAAATAAATATCAAAAATATAAATCTTTGTTTTACTATGGTTGCAAATATCAAAAAATTTCTATATGTAACACAGCACCAGAGTTAAGTTAATGTTTTTCAAAATACTGACACGCCGAGCTCAAAAGGTTCACCATCACTGGACTAGAGGCCCAGTGCACAAATTTGTGCCATGGTGGGGTCCAGCGGCCATCGGGGGCAGGCCAGCTGGGGCAAAGGGCTGTGGGCGGTTTGTCAGCCGGCCCCACCCTTGATCAGGATGGGGGTACCCGTTCCTGGGCGGGGCCAGCCACCTGGGGCGAGAGACTACAGGCATACTCGATTGTTCTGCTTCAGTTGATTTGCATATTACCCTTTTATTATATAGGATTTGAGAGAGGGCAAGAGAGAAACATTGATTTGTTGTTCCACTTATTTATGCATTCATCGGTTGATTCTTATACATGCCCTGACCACAACCCACAACCGTGGTATATAGGGACAATGCTCTAACTAACTGAGCTACCCGGCTAAGGCAGTGGAACATATTCTGATAAAAGGATTGTAGTTCAGGAATGGGTTTGTGAAAAGTCAGCCTAATGTTTTCTTGAGCAAAATAGCTTGTTGGGAATCATGACCCAAACTTCCAGTTTGGAACACCAGCTTGGAGAAATCTGGGATGCAGCTAAATGGAATTGTCCTGAATGAATTTCTATAATGTGAAGATTATTTTTCTCGATCATTTCCAGTAGTAAGTTGGAGATATGTACATTTGGGAAAGAGGCTATATTTTGACTATATTTTGAATTGCTTTGGTGGTTAGACCCCACTGTACTAGCCAGAGGAGGCCTAGCATTGTCCCAAACAACCCAGCTTTCAGTGGCTGAATACCAGGTCTGCTTCTTGTACAGCACAGTCCAGTGTGGGTGAGGAGTGGGCTCTCTCCACGCAGTCATTCAAGCACCCAGACCCTTCCTTCTGCTGGTTCCACCTTCCTCAAGGCCCAATCCATTCAGGTTCAGACAGAAAAAGAGAAGGAGGACCAAGCACGGGAGGGCCTGGATGTAGCACACGTTTCTTTCGCTCATATGCCATTGGCCAGAACTCAGTCACATGGCCACACTCACTGCAAAGAAGTGCGGGAAGAACTGGAAAATGCCACCATGTGCCAGGAGAAGAGCACCGATATTGAGCCCTAGCAGCCACTGCCACACCCATGTAGCCCAGAAAGGACTAGAAGTTTGTAGCAAACTTGAAAAAAAAAATTCATATTCAAGATACAAACAGCTTTTAACCAAATAATCCTGGTATTCTGCATGTTAGCATGAATATTACACTCTGCACAAAACTGATCCCCAGTTTTAAATATTGAAAACATGACAAACCACACCAGAAACTCCAATAGTATAAGGGCCTTTTAAGGAAGATGCAAAGTTCTTTTGGTTTTGGGTTTTTCTCCCCCAACATTATAATCTTCTTTGCAAGCTTCTTATATAAGTGACAGTGAAAGCCACCTGCTTTTATTGCACAGTTTGACGAGTTGTCCCTTTTCAGACAACTTTCAGCATTGGGGTCTTAGGCTGAGAAATCTTGTCCAAACAAGATCTGGATATATGCTGAAGTGGCCTGGATGATCTGCAGAAGAGGGTCTGGTTCTGGCTGGCCTGGTGGTGTGGTGACTTCCTGCTCACCTCTCTCTTCCACAGCCTGGGGTGCATCTGCATTTCGTGGAGCTGGGCTCTGGCCCTGCTGTGTGCCTCTGCCATGGGTTTCCTGAGAGCTGGTTCTCTTGGAGGTACCAGGTAAGGAAAACCAGGTAAAGGTAAACCCCAGTCAGGCGAGGCAAGGAGAAAGCCTAATGGTGTGCCCCAGCCCGATCGTCATTAAGAAGCGAAACCTTACAGCGGAGCATTGTTGCCCAAGTATGGCTGTGATACCGCAGAAATGTTGGGGCTGGAGATTGCTCCAGACCACAGAGCTGTGTTAGTCCATATGCCACCTTTGCAGAGTAAAGAAGAAAAAGCAGACTTCTTCAGGACACTTTGTGCCACCTCCCGGAAGTCTTTGTAATGATTATAGAAATATACAAGGTCTTTGTTAGGAAAGGTGCTCCCTTAGATGCGGCATTAGATGCAGTGCACAAACCCTACCACCAGTGATCCATGGCAGCCCTATCCAGGTGGGCTCGTTCCAGCTCCATGGAGATACCTGGTGATGTCAGGTGACACTTTGGATTGAGCCATTTACAAGACCTTGGGGATAGAGGAAGCAAAGAAGGAGTGTCAGCCAAACACTATAAGACTTCCCTGTATGTACCTGAGTTGTTTGTTTTCTAGATCCCAGCTCTGGTCCAGGCGGGTTTCCGGGTACTAGCATTGGACATGAAAGGCTATGGAGACTCATCTGCTCCTGCTGGTGGGTAAATGTTGGTCATGCCTTCTGACTGTTCAAGCTCTCCACTGCACTGTCTTCCTCTGCTCCCAGGTCAGAGCAGGCAGTCCTTTAAGGGTGCCTGACTTTGTGCCTCCCCCTCCCGCAGTGTCCTTGGTCTATGCGGTTCAGGTCCCAGATGTCCCTGCTCCTCTTACTCTGGATGAATATGAGAAGCCCAATAGCCTGTGGCCTGAGGGTGTCTCCTGCTGGTTGGTGGGGATGTAGAATGTGCGATGGGCCATCCAGCTCCAGAACATTTTCATCCTGCAGAACTGGGACTCTGTACTTATTAAATAATAACTCTTCCTTCCTCCTTCCCCCAGTCCCTTGCAACAACTCTTTTGCTTTCTGTCTCTATGAAGTTGACTACACTAAGGACCTCATATAAGTGAACCAAACAGTATTTATCCTTTTGTGAATCACTCATTGCACTTATGATAATGTCTTCAAGGTTCATTCATGTTGCATCACAATTTCCAATTTCCTTTTTAAGGCTGAATAATATTCCATTGAATGGATATACCACATTTGTTTATCTGTTCATCCATCAATGGACACTTGGGCTGCCTCCACCTTTTGACTATTGTGAATAATGCTGCTTTGAACATGAGTGTGCAAATATCTGTTTGAGTCCCTTTTTTCAATTCTTTGGGTCATATATCCAGAAATCAAATTGCTAGGTCATATGGTAATTTACAGGCCCCATTCTTAACCCAGCACTTATGGATCCCAGTGGAAGTCTATCCAAGTATGGGTATCAGGGAGCCTGTGAGCCCCTGAGACCACATGTGGGCTTATGAGCATTTTTCATTGTTTTGATCAACTTCAGAGGGGTCTTCAGCCCAAAACTGTTTAAGAGCCCTAGGTATGGAGGCAGGAACCTGAAACAGCCAGGTTTACAGCAAAACTGCTGGTCCCTGTATCAGCTATGCTGTTAGCAGTGTTGGCTTGGTGAGCCAACCCAGCTGTTTAAAACCCTTTTTTTGAGCTGCTTCCCCCAATTTAAATTAAATTATTCCCCTAGAAAAAATGTCTATTCATCTATACTGCAATCTTCCCTGAATCCCCTAGGCATAACTTAGTAATATAATTTATCATTCAATCTAGAACACTATTAAAAGTAAAAGAAATACACTATTAATAATAACACATATAAACTGAAACTGGGACTTATGTTCATACCTGAATTATAACTCATTTTTAAAAATAAACCCATAATTTACACATTAACTATTGTTGAATATTTTGTATAATATGAATTCTAAAGCCAAGCATAATAATTTGGAATACAGACACACCCAGTTCAAATGTTTTGTGTATAAATTTTATATAATTTGGTAATAGTTTTAAGTAACAAATTATTTTCCCTAAAATTTTGAAGCCTTTGTCCCACTACTTTCTAGTTTCCCTGTTGCTACTGAGAAATCCCATGCCATTCTGACCAATAAGCCTTTCTGTGTGACCATTTATTTTTTCTTCCTTACTCTTGACACTTTAGGGTCTTTTCTTTATCTGTTTATTCTAAAATGGCTGATATTGTGCTATGATATAGTATGTGTTTTTTCATATATTCTGCTGGATACATTTATCTTTCAGTTCTTGGAAATTTTTTTGAATCATTTCTTTGGTAATTTTTCTTCCTTTTTCCTTTTCCTTTCTGGAATTGCTAATATTGTTAAAATACTCATACTACTCAAAACAATATACTCATACTACTCGATGCAATCTCTATCACAATCCCAATAGCACTTTTTACAGAAAAAGAAAACACAATTCTGCAATTCACGTGGCTCCACAAAAGACCAATAGTCAAATCAATCAGAGAGAACAAAACTGGAGGACTCACACATCCTGAGTTAAAAATATATTAAATCTACAGTAATCAAAACAGTATGGTACTGGCATAAAGACAGATTCACAGACCAATGGAACAGAATATAGAGCCCAGAAATAAAGCCACCCATATACGGTCAACTGCTCTTCAACAAGAGTGCCAAGAACACGCCAATAGGGAAAGGATAGCCTCCTCAACAAATAGCTTTGGGAAAACAAAATTCACATGTAAAATAATGATGTTGGACCCTTATCTTACACCTTACCTTACAGAAAAATCAACTCGCCTGGCCAGCGTTGCTCAGTAGTTGAGCATCAACCTGAGAACCAGGAGGTTACAGTTCGATTTCAGTCAGGGCACATCCCAGTGTGGAGCGTACAAGAGGCAGCTGATCAATGATTCTCTCTCATCATTGATATTTCTATCTCTCTCCTTCTCCCTTCCTCTCTGAAATCAATAAAAATATATATTTAAAAAAATCAACTCAAAATGGAATAAAATTTAAATGTAAGACTTGAAACTAAACCTCCTAGCAGAAAACATAGGGGAAAGGTTTCTTGGTAATGATTTCATGGATGTGACCCCAAAAGCACAGGCAACAAAAACAAAAGTAAGCAAGTAGACTGCTTCAATCTAAGAATTTAATAAGATAAGATTTATTTATTTATTTACTTATTTATTTTTGGCAAACCGGCCCTTTTAGTTTGTTGGTAATTTTTAACCATGCAATATATATATATATATTTTTTTTAATTGCAGAAATAGAAGAATATTCCTTGGAAATGTTATGCAAGGTAAGAAGAGTCTTTGGATAACACCTGCATTATCTTTTTCATCCTGGAATTTTTACTGTTATAAGACAGAAATGTGGGTACTCATTTAAATCCTAGGAAAACATCATTTCACAGAATTTAGGTGTAAATTCTTACTGAAAGTTGAGATAACATTTCAAAATGATAGCCAACGTTTGCTGCATGGAAGAGGAAACTGAGTCACAGTGAGGGAAAGTCATTGCCTGAGGTCAACAGCCAGTAGAGCCAGGTTTGAATCCTACAATAGCTCTCCCATCCCTCCTCTTAGCCACTCCACCGGATTGTCTTTCCATCCCGGGAATTTTAAAAATCACTATATTTTGGTAAAAGATATTGGTGGCCAGCCCTAAGGATTATTGTATGGATTGGTGACTGTAATGGCATTCCTATTCTAAGGTGGCCATAAGCATCATCGGGGAGGGGGCCCCTCACCTCCGAGCTTGCAGGGGAAGAAAGGGGCAGACCTTCTTAGAACAAAAGGAAAGGCTGGAGGGGTCAAGGGGAAGAAACAGGAAACTGGCAATAATGCTGATTACACTCAAATTATAAAAAGCCACCATCTCAGAGCCACCACTCCTGTGGCGCTCCCCCCATTCAGCCCCTCACGCAGCCTTTGCATCTCATAAGAGAGCATGGGTAAAAGCTTAACTTCCAGCTAAGGTTGTTTTTCCTTCCTCAATTTCTAAGTCTTTGCCTCCCCCACTCTGCTACTTCTGAGAGGATGCTGGAAAGGGAAGGGAGATAACTCAAAAGCCAGTGAAATGATTGAACATTGTGTTAGTTCGCTCGGGCTGCCATAACGAAGTACTGCAGACTGAGTGGCTAAAGCAACAACAATTGCCATTCCAGAGGCTAGAAGTCTGAGATCAAGGTGTCAGCATGGTTTATTTGAGGCTTCTAGATGAGGCTCGAAGATGGCCATCTTCTCCCTGTGTCTTTACATGGTTTTTCCTCTGTGTGTATCTATGTCCAAATCTCCTCTTCTTTTTTTGTAAATGTGTTTTTTAATTGATTTTTTTGAGAGAAAGGAAGGGAGGGAGAGAGAGAGAAACATCAATGAGACATCTATTGGCTGCCTCCTACATACCCCCTACTGGGGATCGAGCCTGCATCCCAGGCATGTGCCCTGATGGGGAATTGACCTGGTGATCTCTCAGTGAATGGGACGACCCTCACACTGACGGAGCTAACTCTCCTCTCCTTATAAGGACACCAGTAATTGGATTAGGGCTCACCCTAATGACCTCATTTTAACTTTCGTCACCTTTTTTAATGACCCCATCTTCAAATACAGTTGCATTCGGAGGTACCCAGGGTTAGGGCTTCAACCTATGAATTTTAGGGAGATAAAATTCAGTCCAAAACAAAGGCTGACACAGTAATTCTAAACTGGAAGTGGCCGAGGTGGCTGGATACAATTTCTAATTTTGTGTTGTGTTTTTTTTCTTAGGACATGGTAACCTTCCTAGATAAGTTGGTAAGTAATAATTTTGAACTGATCTCTTTGGAGAATTCTGTTTGGGTCTGGGCAATTAATACAAGATGTAAGCCTTTCAAGGTGTTAGCTTTTGGAGCCCTCGAGCAGAGTAGCAGGGCTAGGAAAGGCACACTTTGGGACAGTGGGAGGTGGGTGGTTGACCAGAAGTTACCAAGGCAGAGATGAGTTTATTCTGTTTTTTTGTTTGTTTGTTTGTTTTTGTTTCATGAAAAGCATCTACCAAGGAATAGGATACTTCTGTTTGCTTGAGTCAAGAAGTTTGGAAAATATCCTATAGGCCAGCGGCTCTCAACCTGTGGGTCGTGACCCCTTTGAGGGTTGAACGACCCTTTCACAGGGGTCGCCTAAGACCATCAGAAAACATATATATAATTACATATTGTTTTTGTGATTAATCACTATGCTTTAATTAATTATGTTCAATTTGTAACAATGAAAATACATCCTGCATATCAGATATTTACATTACGATTCATAACAGTAGCAAAATTACAGTTATGAAGTAGTAACGAAAATAATTTTATGGTTGGGGGTCACCACAACATGAGGAACTGTATTAAAGGGTCGCGGCATTAGGAAGGTTGAGAACCACTGATGTACCTGTATCTGCTCGCTGATCAAGGTCCATAGTTTATTGAGGTTGACAGTGGATGGAAGTTTTCATTTCCCTTAAAGTGGTAATGCCTCATACTAACCTTGCCAAGTTACCTGGATGGCATTTGTCTAAGTTGATCCCGTGGTGACTCCTGCCACTAGCATAACCCTGGTTTCCAGGTGCCTCTGGGACTTGCTTATGTGGCCATCTCCATGGCTCATGTGGCCCTGCCATTTCTGGTCTCCCTCATCTTGATGGCATGTCAGGGACTGATATAAATGTGATATTGCTGGTTTTAAAGTTGCAGCATTGCCATGAGTGGGTGCTACAACTAATAGAGACAAAGACGGCTGTGGCCACAGACATACTATTTGTGAACACTTGGTACATGGTGCAGATTTGGAAGGTGGACTGTGGATTTTGGCAATGACATTCATATTTGGAAATACTGCTTGAGGTCAACACCAGTCAAGCCATACCCCCATCGCCAGCTGAGCTGTGAACAGGCTTACCCATCTTCTGACATCTCGTCGATTACCGCAGTTAACAGTGGAATTACCCATCACAATGCCACAATTAATGCCGCAACTACGATACTTTTTTTAAAAAATTGAGGTTCACTATGCCCTGGATGTGTTCACTATTTTAAGAAACTTTCTATTATTTTCTGCCACTTCTACTCCATTTATTCTATTCTTAATACTCACCACTTACATCTTGATTTACTCATGTAATGAAGGTAATATTTTGAAAATGTTAAAGAGATATTTTTTCTTCTTTTTGTGGAAAATCATGTTCTTCTGCTCAATTCCTAGAGTATGAGGGAGGAAAGATGCCACCATGGGAACGAGAAGGGTGCAGAGTAGGGAATGTCACTGTGAGAGAGGAAGAGGTCTCTGAGGGCCGGTCCTGCTGTCCCAGGCCGGTCCTGGGAAGAACAAGTTAGCAGCTCAATGACGAAGGTGGCAAAACCCATGTATCTGTATCAGCCTCTCTGGGGTAAAGTGCAGAAAGAGGAAAGCTTTTAGGTAGATTTAGGAGGAAAATGAAAACAGAAGAGGGTTTTTCTTTTCCTGCTTCCTATTTAGGATCCAAGAGGGGTGGCTACTTCTGAGCCACGTCAGAGGCTTGCTGTGGTTAGGGCAAGAGCTAGTCTGAGATAACGTCATAAATAAAAATAAAAATAAATGTAAATTGGCTCTTGTGGGGTCTGGAAAAAGCTAGATTTTTTTAAAAAAAATTTTAATTTTGTTTTATTGCTTAAGTATTACAAAGAGTATTACATATGTCTCCTTTCTTTTCCCTTTGACATTCCCCCGACCTCCCCTACCCCCCAGTGTCTTGTGTCCATTGGTTATGCTTATATGCATGCATGTAAGTCCTTCGGTTGATCTCTTACCACCCCCTCCCCCT